GTAAGTGTCGGATAACCTTTTGACCCCAAGAGGAGGGTTAAACATGGATTTGTTCACTGTCAACAAAGGACTGAACATGCTTTTGTAGCTAAAATCCCTCCCCCCACCGCTCCCCCTTCTCCCCCCCCCACCCCCTTCCCCCCACCCTCTCCCACCCCTCCCCCTACCCTCCCCCTCCCCCTACTCAAGAGGAGGGTTAAAACATAGATTTGTTGACCTGTCTGCTGAGAAAGAATTTGACTGCCGGTTTTGCTAGTAGAATCTATACATGCCTGGATGTATGAGGCTACAATGTCACAGTGAAATGTCAAAAGCTAAATTTGGTTAAAGAAAGGTTTATGCTCCTTAAATCGTATAATTTATATGCCATTCTGTAGCTGTCAGTATGTTACATGTAACGCATGCCACTGCCACTGCCAGTGGCTGCTGCCAGTGCAATGAGTGCATGTGTTGGGGCAGTTTTTGCCTGCGTTAATTTGTTGCAGGGGTGGCAGCTCTCTATTTGCAGGCCTGTAGGCTTGCGTAGGTAAATGGATGAGTGCTTACCTAATCTGTCTTGCAAATAGTTGTTGCTACTACGAATGATGGGAGCTTCCATCTTTAATCTGAAGACACTTAAACGTATGCGCCATCTCGTGGGCAACTTTCATAACGATCCCAACGAACAATTCTTTGAGAAGGTTCCTGATACCATCTCTGTGCATCCACTATTTCGGCGTGTATGTGAACACAATTTGGGACTAACAGGGTTTACTAGAATCCCACCACTCCACCACAGAGTCACCGCAGTAGACGTGTAGATGAGCGCTGTCGCTCAGTGCGGCACTTTTTGGTGTATATTAAGGGGCGTTCTTGTATCCCTACAGAGTGTTATCGTATTCTGGGCGGAGTAGCTGGCTCCATGTACAGAAACGCGCGTCCCTGCAGAGTATTAACATATTTTGGGAGGAGTAGCTGACTCTTATGTACAGAGACGTACGTCCCTGTAGAGTATTAACATATTTTGGGAGGAGTAGCTGACTCTTATGTACAGAGACGTACGTCCCTGCAGAGTATTAACATATTTTTGGGAGGAGTAGCTGACTCTTAATGTACAGAGACGTACGTCCCTGTAGAGTATTATTGTACTCCTGTGAGGAGTAGCTGACTCTATGTTAGCAGAGACGTGCGTCCCTGTAGAGTATTATTGTACTCTGGGAGGAGTAGCTGACTATGTACAGAGACGTACGTCACTGTAGAGTATTATTGTACTCTGTGAGGAGTAGCTGACTATGTACAGAGACGTACGTCCCTGCAGAGTATTATTGTTACTCTGTGAGGAGTTAGCTGACTCTATGTAAGAGACGTACGTCCCTGTAGAGTATTATTGTACTCTGAGAGGAGTAGCTGACTATGTACAGAGACGTACGTCTCTGTAGAGTATTATTGCACTCTGGGAGGAGTAGCTGATCTTATGTACAGAGACGTGCGTCCCTGTAGAGTATTATTGTACTCTGGGTAGGAGTAGCTGACTCTATGTACAGAGACGCTGCGTCCCTGTAGAGTATTATTGTTACTCTGGGAGAGTAGCTGACCTATATGTACAGAGACATACGTCCCCTGTAGAGTATTATTGTACTCTGGGAGGAAGTAGCTGACTATGTACAGAGACGCTGCGTCCCTGTAGAGTATTATTGTACTCTCGTGAGGAGTAGCTGACTCTATGTACAGAGACGTACGTCCTGGCAGAGTATTAACATATTTTGGAGGAGTAGCTGACTCTTATGTAAGAGACGTACGTCGCCTGTGCAGTATTATTGTACTCTGTGAGGAGTAGCTGACTCTATGTACAGAGACGTGCGTCCCTGTAGAGTATTATTGTACTCCTGGAAGGATAATAGCTGACTATGTACAGAGACGTACGTCACTGTAGAGTATTATTGTACTCTGTGAGGAGTAGCTGACTATGTACAGAGACGGTATACGTCCCTGCAGAGTATTAATATGTCACTCTGTGAGGAAGTAGCTTGACTCGTATGTACAGAGACGCTTACGTCCGCTGTAGAGTATTATTGTACTCTGAGAGGAAGTAGCTTGACTTGTACAGAGACGTACGTCATCTGTAGCCAGTATTATTGTACTCTGGAGGAGCTAGCTGATCTATGTAGCAGAGACGTGCGCTCCTTAGAGTTAATTTTGTACTCTGGAGGAGTTAGCTGACTCTAGGTAGAGAGACGTGCGTCCCTGTTAGAGTATTATTGTACTCTGGGAGGAAGTAGCTGACTATATGTAACAGAAGACATAACGTCCCTGTAGAGTATTATTGTACATCTGGGAGGAGTAGCTGACTATGTTACAGAGACGTGCGGTCCCTGCTGAGTATATCTGTACTCTGTGAGGAGTAGCTGACTCTAATGTACAGAGACGCTTAGCGTCCCTGTAGAGTATTATTGTACTCTGAGTGGAGTAGCTGACTCTAGGGGGGGTGTACAGAGACGTGCGTCCCCTGCTAGAGTATTATCGTTCTCATGGGAGGAGTAGCTGAACTCTATGTACAGAGAGACGTAACGTCCCTGTAGGAGTATTATTGGTACTCTGAGTGGAGTAGCTGACTCTATGTACAGAGACGTGCGTCCCTGTAGACGTATTATTGTTCTCTTCGGGAGGGTAGTGACTATGTACAGAGACGTACGTCCCTGTAGAGTATTATTGTAGGCTACTGGGATAGAGCGTGACTCTACTGTACAGAGACGCTGCTCCCTGTAGAGTATTATTGTACTCTGGGAGGATAGCTGACTGCTATGTACAGCAGAGTGCGTCCCCGCAGAGTATTAATTGCTACCCTGGGAGGAGTAGCTGAACTTGTAACAGAGGACACTCACGTCCCTGTAGAGTATTATGTGTACTCTGTGAGGAAGTATCTGACTCTATGTACAGAGACATTAGCGTCCCTGTAGAGTATATATGTACTTGGAGGAGGTAGCTAACTATGTGCAGAGACGTTGCGTCTCTGTTAGAGTCTTATTGCTACTCTGGAGGAGTAGGCTGACTCTAATATACAGGAGAGCATATACCGTCCTTGCAGAGTGATTATTGTACTCTGGAGCGAGTTAGGCTGACCCGAGTGTACAACGAGACGTACGCTCCCCGTAGAGGTAGATTGCTACTCTGGGGAGGAGTAGGCTGACTATGTACAGAGACATACGTCCGCTGAGAGTATTATTGATACTCTGTGAGGAGTAGCTGACTCTAATGTACAGAGACGGTGCGTCCCGTAGCAGTATTTATTGTACTCTGGAGCAAGTAAGGCTGACTTCTATGTACAGAGACGTCGCGTCCCTGTATAGAGTATTATTCGTAGCTCTGGGAGGAGTAGCTGCACTCATATGTACAGAGACGTGCGTCCCTGAGAGTATTATTGTACTCTGCGGAGGAGTAGCTGCGGACTCTATGTACCAGAGACGTACTCCCTTAATGAGATTATTGTAACTTTGCTGAGGGAGTAAGCTGATCCTCTATGTACAGAGACAGTGCGTCCCTGTAGAAGTCTTATTGCACTCTGGGAGGAGTAGCTGACATCATGTAAGAGACATAACGTCCCTGTGGCCAGTATTATTGTACTCTGGGAGGCATAGTGACTTATGTACAAGAGAGGGAGGCGTGTGTCTCGCTGTTAGAGTATTATTGTACTGCTGGGAGTAGCTCTGACTCTTATGTACAGAGACTAATAGGTTCTATCCACTGAGTATGAGGCTTGAGATCGGATATTCACCGAGGTTATAGATTATCACCGTCGCTACGAGAGCGTGCGAAGTAATGAGACGTGCGTTATCTATATACGAGAGGTGATACTATTCCAATCTCAGCTCATTACTGTGATAGAACCGTTTTTCTCGCAATATTTTTCATTTTTATATTTTTATTTATTATTTTTCAATATTTTAGCTTTTTATTGCAGAAAGGAACATTTCAGTTCAATATGTAATTCAATATTTTGCAAATTTCCAATTTCGTTTTTTTTATTCTATTTATGATGTTATTTCTATATTTACTATATATATATTTTTTTTAAATATATATTTTTATTATTTTTCTTAATTAATTTTATGAGTATCCTTGGTCCAAAAACTGTAAAGGTGACCTTATGACCTTGTAATTAAGGAAAATCATTGCGACTTAAAAAGTAGTGGCGAGATCAAACCGATCTCGGGCGTCTGCAAGTTATCCGAGGATTTATGCATCGGTGGCTATTTCGGGGATATCTCATACCTAGTATGCGAGAAATGCGTCCATGTAGAGTATTATAGTACTGACGTCGAGTGAAGGGATATCTTCAAATTAGAATCGAATCACCCAGATGTTAAAAAGCGTTCTGTTTCAAGGCTTCTGTGTAATAGCCCTCTTCACATCAAAGGGTTGCGCACAATCAATAATTACTCGTGAAACTTTCACATCAGGAGTGACTGATGTTACTGTACAAGCAACCGAAAGCTGTGCAATCACACTGCTTTATTCAGCGATGCACGCCACGTATGGCATGCCAGCATCGCACGCACGACCTCACCCTACCATACACTACGCACGCACGCACGCACAAACGGCACGCCACACATATAGTCAGTATCCAGCCGCACACGTACCAGCGCACGAGCCACGGCACGCACGACACACGCACGCACGGCGCACGAATCGCCGCACCACGGAGAGGACGAGAGGAAGACAATTGACCCGCGCACCGCACGCCCACGCACGCCACGGCACCGCACGCCACCCACACACCACCACGCGCGACACACCCACACCACAAACAATACACAACGACAAAGCGAACAACAGACACAGACAACACAAACAAACCAACAACCACAAAGAAGACAGACAGCCAGACACATTCAAAACAACACGCAACGAAACGAGCACACTGCAGGGACAACGATGCACAACGACCAACGCAACGATATCGCACGGACACGCGCAGCAACCACGCACGAAAGCACCGCACGCATTACCTGCTATTGGCGATGCATGAGCAGTTTGAAACATGTAACAAAAGATTACAATGGTAGCGTAAGACAGGTCTTTCTGAAAGAATTTGATTATCAGTGCTGCGAATGCTCATCTGCAATGCGAAGAGGAGAGAAGCATTGCAAAGTCTGCTCTTACCGTGCAAACCCAACACCACTTCCAGCTGAGAATTCACCAGTTGTAAAGTGAGAGAGGCCAAAAAGACAGCGAGCGAAAAAGAGAAGAGAGAGAGAGAGAGAGAGAAAGAAGAGAAGAGAGAAAGAGAGTAGAGAGTGAGATGTGAGGACAAGAGAAAACGGATAAGATTGCCATAGGGTTTTATTCTGTGTATGAATTCCGATAAAATGTCCGATAAAATGTCCTTGAATTTCCGATAAAATATCCTTGAAAAGTCATTGAAAAGTTCTTGAAACATTTTTCAGTCCTCCTGCATGAACCATGGATAAGGGATCTTGAATAAATTTGCACCCTCTATCAATGCTTGCGTTAACGTAGTGAATGGAGTGGGGAATGGAATACGTAACGACTGGATTATTCAGATTGGGGGTTTCTCCGATAACTGGGCTATGTTGATCAACGTTCTTGTGTTTTCTCTGGTTGCCACGCTATGCTGATCAACGTTCTTACGTATTCTCTGGTTGCCCATCTATGCTGATCGACGTTCTTTTGTTTTCTGTGGTCACCAGCCTATGCTGTTCGACGTTCTTTTGTTTTCCGTGGTAACCAAACCACGCGGATCGGCGTTTATTTGTTTTCCGTGGTAACCAAACCACGCGGATCGGCGTTTATTTGTTTTCCATGATAACCGAGTCGCGCTGATAGACATTCTTTTGTCTTCTGTGGTAATTGAACCGCGCTGATTGACGTTCTTTTATTTTCCGTGTGGTATCCGAACCGCGCTGATGATGTTCTACTGTTTTTGCACAGTAACTGAAAGGTGCTGATCGACGTTCCTTTGTTTTTTACAGTGTCGGGAAGACGTCGTTTCTCTTCCGCTATGCAGACGACTCTTTCACTTCAGCCTTCGTCAGTACCGTCGGCATCGACTTCAAAGTCAAGACGGTGTTTAGGAACGACAAGCGAGTCAAGCTGCAGATATGGGTGAATACTCACTCTCACATGCTGTGCCCGTGGCTAGCACGCAGCCAATCGTTTGATCCTCGCTTTTTGATTCCGTTCTCACGTGTTGATTCCGTTCTCATGTATTGATTCCATTCGCGTGTGTTGTTGTTGTTGTTTCATCTCTGTGTGGATGCATCGCCGGTGTTGCAGCCTAGGGCTTTTTAATTAAAGGAAGACCGTGTATTATGCTGCCATAAGTATTTATAATTGCGCTTTGATCTCGACGCCTGAGCCATAACTTCATATTTAATTAATAACGATTTCAGTTACCTTTAGAAGTTCCCATTACCTGTCATCAAACTAGCGTTCCCGAGGGTTCGTCATTGCCCTTGCTGTATTGCTCGCTAACCCTAAACATATTAAATAAAATCAGGAGTAAATAATCGAGTATTACAAAATTTGTGATTATTTACTACTTAATTACTACTTAATTAGTAGCGTAGTTTCATCCAGTTGTTCAACTAAGCACTGCACTATACTAATTCAAAAGCGTTCACATGATTGGTATAGTCCCGCTTAAGGGTCTAGTTTGCCAGGCAGTTTTACTTGAAATATCTCAATACGTATCGTGAAGTACGTAACCGTATCCGTATATTGTGATACGGATCGTATTGTGAAGGCTCACACACACACACACATGTAAAGAGAGACCATCAAAGAATGGCGGGGATGCTGGCGAGGCGTGCCTATTGTGCAGCGAGGCAGCATAACGTAAGATGACCGCGTACACGACGTCACTAGATCGATGCAACACTAAAAGGGACGTGTAAGGATGGCAATGATGAATGCATCAAAGGGTATTTTCGGCCACTACCAACATTAGTGTAGAATACCCACCCCACCGCGGTCTCCGCTGGTCATTACGCCCTTACCTTAGAGGGGGTCCGCGCGTGGATGTATTTCTAATGATTTATTCATTGCCCGATATGGATTGTTGTAGGGACTCGGTTGGCACCATGCGTACAGCTCTCTATACTTCCCTAGAAGTGTCGGAGCTATTATTACTGCGCTCGCTGTACGGCCATCTGTATTTCCAGTGGTTAATATAGTAGAGTATGGTAGTGCGGAAGAGATTTGGCAGGGTTGGCCCTAAGGTGACAGCATGGGGTGGTGGCAGGTGAAACCCCGCCCTATGAATTTTGTGCATCAATGATTTGTCGTAAGCGCAGTAGTTGGTAGTTTAGTGATTGTTTTTAAGTAAGCGCTAGAATCGATGCTTCATCGCTCGTTAATTCGAGCACGAAAAAGGGGATTTATGTAGGTAACCTTTATCTAAGCAGTGGTGGGGTCGGGCACGCACTAACCATTGCCTTAGCAATCTTCCGTTTCTCTTTCTCTCACATCTCACTCTCTCTCTCTCTCTCTTTCTCTCTCTCTCTCTCTCTTCTCTTTTTCGCTCGCTGTCTTTTGGCCTCTCTCACTTTAACCACTGGTGAATTCTCACGCTGAGTGGTGTTGGGTTGACGGTAGAGCAGACTTTGCAAGCTTCTCTCCTCTTCGCATTGCAGATGGCATCGCAGCACGATAACAAATGGCAGAAAGATGCCGCCGACCAGAACTTTGATTACATGTTCAAACTGCTCATCATCGGCAATAGCAGGTAAGTGCGTGCGTGTGTTCGCGCGTGTGTGCGTGTGTCCGTGCGTATGTGCGTGCGTGTGTGCATGCGTGCGTGCGTGCGTGCGTGCGTGAATGTGTCTGGCTGTCTGTCTCTCTCTGTGTGTGTGTGTGTGTGTGCGTGCGTGCGTGAATGTGGCTGGCTGTCTGTCTCTCTGTGTGTGTGTGTGTGTGTGCGTGCGTGCGTGAATGTGGCTGGCTGTCTGTCTCTCTGTGTGTGTGTGTGTGTGTGCGTGCGTGCGTGAATGTGGCTGGCTGTCTGTCTCTCTGTGTGTGTGTGTGTGTGTGCGTGCGTGCGTG